GACATCTAGCAGAGTGTTTATATCGCCAGTTTCGCTAAATGTATCGTTTCGAAATGTATGTTTATGCTCATCATTCCACCTGTAATATATTCTTCGGTGAGTTGATTCCCTGTTTCCGACAATACCTAATTTTAATCGGAATGACACGGGTGTGTGGTTGGAAAATTCTGTGTAAATTAGGAATATATATGTAGTGTCCGCGTTCTATTGCGAAATCATATAAGGATGTACGAAATTCTGAATTTTGTTTCCTGTATAAAGTCGAGATAACTTTCTAATTTACATTCATGTTTAAATAAACAATACGTTTCGAGACGAGGAGAGTTATTTATTGATGCGCACCACTGTTGATAATACACATCTAATATCCGTTGTTTAATCATATTTACGTTAATTTGAGTGTTAAATTGGATTTGCCATAAGTATTACCGTAATTATAAAGTATTTTTTAATCTGACTAGCCCAGTTTTTACTATAATATGTATTTCCTAATTCAGCATCCCTCATCAACATATTATAAGGCTGAAATAGTAGTGATTGATTATCCAAAGTAATTAGTTTAACCCAGTATTTTATCAATATAATTTTTTCGATAAACATTCATTGATGTCTTCCCTAATTCGCCGTATAGAGCATCTACGTTTGTTGAGAGTTTTACGCATAGAACTTTCCTACAAAATTTCGTATGTACAATCTCAACATCTGGTCCAGCGTGATGACCCCATACCGCCGCACAGTAATTAACAGTAGACATTTCAAGAGAATCAAAAAGATATACTTTTTGGGATACAGGTAGTTCTAATTGGTTGTAAACAATAAATAAATTGTGAAGTGAAAACTGAGCATATGTTGAGCGATTCTCTGTTGCGTGCGATTCAATTTCCCGTTTTTAAACAAATGAACACCAAGGTATTTAAATGACTGAACGATGTCGATACGCGAGTTACTTATATAAAAATCATATGATGTATGACAACCGTTTTCAAATATCATTATTTTTGTCTTCCTGACGTTTAATCGAAGTCTCCATGTATAACAGTAAGTCTGTACATCAATTAACATTGATTGTAGAGATTGAGGGTAATAAGCAAATAATGCACCGTCGTCAGCGAACAATAATAAAAATACTTTTACGTCATCAATACATAAAATACCATTTAAGGTACTATTAATATTTTCTACAAAATCATTTAGGAAAAAAGACAGAGTATGCTTCTAGCTGGGTCTCCCTGCTTTACTCCAATAAAGGGTGTTATAGGATCTGAATTCTTAGAATCATATCGAATTACTGATTTTACACTAAGTACATGGATTTAAAAGCTGTTATCAGTTTAGTGCTTACGTTTGCAGAAATTAATTTTGGCACAACATTACTCGATCTATTTGATCAAACATTTTTCCCCTGTCTAAAAATGCTACATATAGTTTCCTTTCCATTGATAATGTTTTCAATATAATAGCATGAAGAATGAATACATAATCATGGGTTGATTTTGATTTTTGAAAACCATATTCAATTTGGTTATCTATTAATACTGAATGTTCGTCTGCCCATTTAGTAGGTCTAGCTATTAGCACCTTAGAATAAATTTAAGATAGAATATTATTCAATGTGATTCTTCGAAAGTTGTTTGCTTCAGCTGTTTCGCCTTTGAAAATCGGACTATTATACCTTGTTGCCAAGTTTCAGGGAAGATACCTTCGGCAAATAATTTGTTATATGATTGAAGTAAGAAAGGGGAAATAATATCAAAAGAAGAGTACTTAAATACTTCGGCTGTTAAGTGATATTCATCCGCACTTTTTGAATTATTTCGACTGCAAACAGCATATTTCAATTCCGAGATAATGGATAAGGCATCTAAACAATCATTTTGGACAATCTGTCGATCATTATACATTGATATTTTTGATGTATTCTGTTTGTGTATAGGCTGGTGATCGTAAATAACACAATACAGAATTGAATTGAATTATTTTACTCAACTACTATATTCATTTAGTTATTTTTGTGAACATTGTTCTAAGTTAACACTTAATGTCATTGAATTTACATATTTTCTCGGGTCATGGCCATGACCATGTTTCCTTATTTGAGTAGTTGCTTAAATAAAGCGGACTCTAAAGTGGACTCTAAAGTGATTAATATTAGTAGCAATGAATTTGTATTCAAAGTCGAGTTTTAATAATATTTTCCAAACTTCTTGACAGAAATGTAATGTGAAACTATTTAAGGTCATCTACACTACATAATAAGTTGATAAATACAAATATCTTCTCATACAATGTGGTTCAAAACCAAGTTACAGTTAACCCGGGCTGCATTTTACAGAATGTCCCAAGTGTATCTAGCCTAAGTCCTAGGACAAAAAACCCCAACTTTACGACTAGTTCAATACCTTTTCAATAAACATTTTTATCTTCAAATACTTTAGACTATAAATAAAATCATTCTTCTGAGAAAAATTAAAAAATACAAAGATCGACAGACATTTATATTCATAATGTGTAAATGCCCATCAGCGTTGATATTCAGAAATAAAAAAGAGTCATAACATAGGAGTTATAAGTAAGGACATTTTTTTGAAACGCAAAATTGTCTTAGGTTGGATTTTAAGACTGATTTCAGACATAGGACTCTCTTTGAAACGCATACCCGGTTTGTAAGTCAACGGTCAATTCATCGATCTTAGATACGGTTTAATACGATAAGCATGAAATGCTGAATACTCGAGCAATCCGCTTTGTACATTAAGAATTTGATTTGCATTTTTGAAAATCAAAATTTGGTATAAATACTTGACTAGTCATTTTTTATACCAGTCAATTTTATAGTTATGTATTTGAATGTTCTTGTAATAGAATCATCAAAATCAAGACATAATTAAGCTTATATATAACATTAAATTTGATACAAGTATAATGTGTTTTTGTTATGTTATAATTAATAATGCTGTACAACTTATATTAAATGTCGAACAAATTATATATTTGTGCCAAATTACATTTTTTTAAATTCTTTTGAATGTACAGATCTTGTTTTGCGTTACAGTTGTTATGTATTTTCATTAATGTTATTTTATTTTAATCAGTTTTGTGTTATCCACATGCGGACACTCTAAAATTCAGATGTTTCATGAATAACGATAAAAATAATCGGTAATAATATTATATTCAGATGTTTCATGAATAACGATAATAATGATCGCGAATAATATTATATTCCGATGTTTCATAGATAACGATAATAATAATCGCGAATAATATGATATTCCTATGTTTCATGAATAACGATAATAATGATCGCGAATAATATTATATTCAGATGTTTCATGAATAACGATAATAATAATCGCGAATTAGATTTTATTCTGATGTTTCATGAATAACGATAATAATGATGGTTCTCTAAAGGCTGAGCTGTAGTGATAAAATGTAAACTAAGATACTTAGTTTTGTTATCAGACATTTTAGTTGGTAACCTAGCATTTGGCATGAGAAAACTGATATCAAAATATTAATGACTTTTCACTATATTGATAAAAGTGCTACCATCTCGTTTTCACATTACTTATCACTATGCCAGTTAAAGTGCTACCATCTCGTTTTCACATTACTGATCACTATGCCGGTTAAAGTGCTAGTATCTCGTTTTTTAAATCTGTAATATGAGTTTGGTTTAATATCACTTCAATATCAATCACCATTAATTTCGTTATTATGGTGCAGCAAATGTCAAACAATAACAAAAAAGCTATAAATTGTAACAACATTCTAGCAATTAATTCTTACTTAACTTTTACCAATACAAAAGATGACCCCGTCCATCGCAAGGCGTTCCTGACATCACTAGACTTGAACTATTGAAATATATCTCTGCCCTCCCTGCTCCCAATTATAATGACCATAACGTTCTGAATATTTCTATATTTCTTTCACCACAATGTTGATATAACCATAACCGTAACCAATAGTTTCCCCTTTTTTCAGTTTGTACTATTCTTGGAGTATAATTTTAGAAACAATTAACACTTCTTGAAGTTTCAGGAAATGGTCTTCTTTCACATTTTGTCATCTTAGTACAGTAAAGACTTAATTCCTTATATAATACAATATGAGTTAACACGTTACTGAACTAAGATGACGATTTATGTACTCAATGTCACCTCCTGTGGTCGATAATGATTTTAATCATGAATTACACTTGGTACTTTCAATGTAAAACCCAATCTACCATTTCTTTGAAAACAGGTAATAAACAAACAATAAAAAATATTCAAAGGAAAAAATAGAAATAAGGAAACAACAGCAAAAAAATAAAAATAAAAGAGGATTTTTTGTATTACTTCAAGGGAATTTTTTGTTTTTCAAACTTTATTGTGCAGAAAGACATCAAGGGTTTTTATCTTTCGCAGATTAAAAATTAAAACAAACTGTATATTTTTGTAAAATAACAACAAAAAACTATGAAATTATCTAAAAATATCACATTTGAAGGTCAAAGTCGTTTTAGCCAAGATCAAATTGAATTTCAAATGAAGGTTTTGTCGTGAAATATAGTATGTCATGGAATGCAGGTTTCAACATTATGGAGTGAAGATGTCCAGTCAAACACATGGACTGACAAAATAAAAAAGGATAGTTAAGTGTCATCCTTACATTTCGATAGTAGGTCATACTTTTTTCAAAGGCAAACCAAAAACAAACAAAAAACGAATCCTTTCATCATCCCAATCCGGAAACAAATACGCGGTATTTTTTCATTGAATTGATCTTTCATACAAAATTTGAAAATTGTATAATTTTATGTTTTGGAATATCAGATTCCACAATATATAGGAGAACTATAAATAAACTTCATTTATTGACAACAGCAGAATCCGTTGGGATTTTATTGTTATACCTCATCAGTCAGAAATAGAATCAGTAAAACCAGAAATAGGCAAACTATTTAAATGAAATCTTTACACTAACTATAATTGTAAAAACACAACAAGCTTATTACGGTTGGAAAAAAGCGAGAGAAATCGGGCCTGTTTTCTATAAAACATGACAATGTTCAAAGGTAAATATACACAATAATAAATAAAGCTTTACATTTTCTGCTTGAATCTGATTTGTATAAATAGTTCAAAGATTCATCAACAGCCATATAACTTTTATTTTAGCGGAAAAACATTTCATTTAACAAAATGCAATTTTGATCATAAAAACATCAACAAATTATCTGCAAAGTGATCATACTGATTAGTTCCATAAAGATGATTTATTCATCATTTGGTTATCAGAACTAACAACATGGATTGTAATGTATCAATATCTTTTGGAATGAATTAACGTTTCTTGCGGAGACTTGGGCACCTGAGTAGAACGAACCTACGACTTTCCGTCAGCTAGATGGATAGCTTTTCTCACGTGGACGACAAAGGTCCCTAACGGGATCTAAACGCAAAGCAGTAAGGGGCAAGTGGTTTGAATTCGACGACCTTAACAACTCGATCACAGACGCCCTGTAGATAATATTATATAGAAAAAAATTATTTGAATATAATTTGTATTGCTTAATCGTTATATCGATCATGATTAAGTGGGCATGTAAATACAGAGACTTTTAAACAATAAGCAAAGATAGGCAGCTCGGTTTGGAAATATGGTTTTAAGATATATAGCCTAACCTTGAGTATGTTTGCAAATGAAGAAGAACGCTGACTCACGAAACAGTTTGATAATCAAAATCTAATGTATACTCATGTGACCAAGAAGGGAACGCAAGCAGTTGGTATATAAAATGAAATGTTTACTTTATCACTTCTTAACATGTTTTAATCTTCGTTTGAAATGTCTTGTGTAGGTTGTAATCGGAGATTTCGGTTGATCAAGTTGCCTTGTCAGTGACTAGGTATTATACTAATAATATTTGATTTTTATATTGTTTATTTTTATGATGTTCATTAAACTTATTCTTGTTTGATCTTTCAGGAATTCTTATTTTGCTCATAATTCAATTAGTCCACAACAGTCTAGCCTTTCCAAATAAACACAGAATTGCTAAAAAAATACGACATGTCAATAAAGGTAAAAACCATCCGTGTAAAAGTTCGAAGGAAGGCAGAAATTTCTCTGTTGCAGTAATGTTACGAGAATTACAGCAGGATATTAACGAACTTGAGCATCAACTTCCATCACATGACAAAATCAAGGTTTGTCCCTACCTTTATTCTGCTGCCTTTATTTATAATGTACTTGTGGAGATATGACATCTGAATTTAAGTTCAATCCATTAGTTGTGATTTTAATTGTTAGAATTCAATAATAAATTATGTCAACATACAGTCTATAGAGTATGATCAAAGTGTATGAGACATTGATTAGTACTGATCACAAAAGTCATTTATCGCTGCTGGGTCACCTGCTGAATTTATTACACGTACCTCTGGTGTTAGTACTCCCTATCTATCACTTTTGAGCCCACAGTTTCGAGCATGGTCAGACTACACTGAACTCCGGGCTGGCCTGCCTCTTAACTAGCAGCTAGGCCTGGTCAGTGTTAATGTATACTGTTGTGAACGAAACTTCATACATTTCACGAAGGCTGTTAAATGATACATTTCCGAATTAACGAAACGGAAAGCGTCAGCGTTAGGTGGGTATTTTATACTTTTGAAAGAATGTTACCAAGAAAGTAAAAAGACAGGATTTTAAAAAAATATTATTTTAAATTCGTGGAAGATTAAAATTTGATATTATAATTTATCTGGAAATTTAATTCACAAGGAAAATAAATTTAACTTTTATAAATATTGAAGGGGCGATTTCTATTGTTTAATGAGGAAAAAATCGTTTTCACCATTTAAATAACAAAAAAAGATATTGTTAAAAAAAAGTATTTTCATTACTTACATTCAAATAAAAAGTAATGTTAGTATAGATTAGAAATGTTTTTCATTGATGTTAGTTTCATCGGTACATTCATTTGTTTATTTCAGGACGATAAAAAGTTAGCTGATAAAAAGAGGCCTTTTAGAGGAACTTTATTTAAAATGTCGGTAAGTTGACATAAATTTACTTTTTACTTTTGAAAAATCAGAGGTTGAGATTAATTTAATGTACAATCAACCTTCGGTCATTAATATTTATTTTTTACACTGTTATTCTTTAATATGTTTGTTGAGTTATGTCCCAGTAATCGTTTTTGTGTCGCCTTGAAAAGGCGACATATAGGGGTTACTTTTGTCGGCGGCGTCGTTGTCGGCGTCGGCGTCCCCTTAAGCTTGTCCGGAGCATAAGTCAGTCATTTAAAGGCGGATTGACTTCAAACTTGGTATGCATACTTCTTATAATGACACAAAGTTCAGTGCACAAGAACCGGTACTCTGCATTTCTTAATTTTTGAGTTATTGCCCTTTGTTAATTTTCATACTTTATTTTGTCCGGGCCATTTCTCCTAAAGTATAAAAGCTATGGACTTGAAACTTCATAGGATGATATATCTCATTAAGAAAAAGTGCAGTGCACAAGAAACGGTTCTCTGCAATTCTTATTTTTGAGTTTTTGCCTTTTGTTAATTTTCATACTTTCTTTTTGTAAAGGCAATTTCTCCTAAAGTATAAAAGCTATGGTCTTTAAACTTCATAGGATTATATATCTCATTAGAAAAATAAGTGCAGTGTTCATAAACCGGTACTCTGCTCTACTTATTTTTGAGTTATTACCCTTTATTAATTTTCATGCTTTATTTTTGTCCAGGCCATCCGACTTGCGGATTTCTTGTCTTAACTCTTTTACTTCTTTAATAATGCATTATTTACAACTTATTAGTATCGACATGCAGTATAGTATAGTTTTGTTAAATATTAATCATATTTGAATACCGTTGTTTTTCTCTCTTAACATGCTGAATTTTAGGTAAGATTTGCCCTACTTTTATTCTGGAACAGATCGTTCATTCCAAGTGAAATAGATTCCTAAAGCAGAATACAAAAAATCGATATGCCAACATGACACACCATATCACAATGTCAGCCTTCATAGTGTGTTTGTTCGTTTGTGTGATTAGTTGGTTGGTTGGTTGGTTTACCAACGCGCACCAACACAATTCAGGTCATAAGGAACCGACACAAGAAAGCTGATTTGGCTACCTCGGTTGTTACAAACTTAAGCAACATTAGAGGGTCCAAACCACACCACATGCTTCAGCTTAAAATGCATAGACTCTAATAATTCGAACTCTTACGATCACGTAGGGTTAAACGGTGGCTGCAATTTGTATGTCTCAACCTGTAGAGGCAACCCCTTCGAAACAAGGAGAGGATGCCTCTGTATTTGTGGCAAAGACCAATTATGTTTGATTCAAGAAGGTGAATCGTTAATAACACAATGATTTATTTCACTCATACTTTTGTAATTTTTCCACTTATTGTTATGTCGGTTGAACGATGTCAGTATTGTATATTTTCAGGCTCTTTGTGGTGAGGAAATCCTATATGATATGAGTTTAGTTTTGGAATATTTTCGCGATGAATTGCTGGAGATTGGAGAACAATCCAAGTCGGTGTTAAAAGAAGATCAATTGCCGATTAAAGAAAATTTATACAAAACTATAAATCACCTCCGAAACGCTGTACTCGCCTTAAGACCAACAGCAATGGACAAAAATAAAGTAGAAGTCAAAATTCCATCATCAAAAAAGTTTTACAAGAAGTGGACAAAAATTGTCCTAGATTTAAAACAGTTCATCAAAACGTGTTTAACCATTATTGACCTTAAGTAGAAAATGTGAAATGTGACGTTTTATCTGAAAATAAATATATTATTTGTCAGTATTTTACAAACAAGTTTACGTATATGTTCGTGCCAGGGTTAAGAAGATCTCCATTTTTATAATGATGAATATATAGTGTATTTTTATATTTAATTCATGCATATATCAATTTGTTTCTTTTACGTATGATATTGTTACGAGTTTACATTCATTTTATGAAATAAAAGATTATTTGTGATATCCTGAATATGAAAACAACATAACTGCCCATAGTTAAATAATAGAAATAGTATCCAAACACGACGTTAACGAGATTTATATGAGTGGGTAACGGACATAGCTGTCAAGTATAAAGTACTTTGATGTCCTTTCTTTTTTGTTTCATAGGCAAAAATAACAAAAACTTTCCCAGCCGTCAAAAAATGAAACTCATGGAGTATATACGAGCATCTGAATAATTATTCCTTTCCATGTCAAAACGGAAAGTAATGAAAGAAAATGTAGCTTATCTACGAAATGAATAACGATTCAGATCCTTGTTTATTGATTATTTTTCCTGGGGTTTCATGTGTTGACGACAGGAACGTGCGTTTATTTTTACCTATGATACAAAAGAGAAAGAACATCAGAACACTCGTTAATCTGATTTATACTCCGGGGCTATGCCCTTCTCGTATATTCAGAGAGCCTCATGTTTCATTGTCTTGCTATTACTTGGAGGAAAGTGCAAGACACAGATGCCAAAAGATGTTCCAAATATTCCAGCAGTCTCTCCTGGTTAGTAAGCGTAGCGTGCCATTTGTTTAAGCAGTCATATTGAAAGACTGTTTTAGTAATATTAGTAGGCTAGGCCGGGAATCGAACTCACAATGAGATTCTCAAGAGTCTCTAACCGACTGACCTATGCGCGCTGGCTGTTTGCACTCCAAATAACGCACTGTGTATTAATGGGTGAAGGATTGAATACTGAGAAACGTCTCTAAACTATGATACAACTTCCTGTTATTTTATACTCTGATGGAATGATCATATTTCGTGTAGCCTATATTTTTGTCCTCAGTCCCGTATCAATTTCAAACTTCACAGCAATCCATTCATTCACGATTCTATTGTCAACATTTGTAATATTTAACATCCAGAAGGTGTAGAAAGTTTTTTGAAACTGATCCCTTAAGCCTTCCTTGTTTTGACTAAAGGTATTAAAATATAGATATATAAAATTATTTTTCTCTCACGTACTAAAAGGTTTAATATATTTTCACTTCTTAGATATGTATTAAAGGCGCATGCTAGAGTTTCATAAATAGGTAGAAATATAATTAATTGTATTTTTATATGTTCTTAGAATATGCTAAAATATTTTTTAATGAAATCTCGTTTTTGAGTTATTTGGACTAAAATTTGAAAACGTGGCTTATTTTAAGTGTTTCTGCTGGGCAGGAAGCTGACTTTCTTTTAAGTGATCATGCAACATTTGCAAGAATTGTGATAAAGAGTGTGTTTGGTTGTTGTTTTTTCTTGTTTTCCTGAACCTATGCCAATTTCTTTTAAAAGCCCTATATGCCCTAAAACGACTTTATTTTTATTTCTCAAAGGCTTCTTATTTTGGTGTCATATTATAGTTTCCATATATTGCTCATTGGCTAATTACATGAACCATATTTGCTTCTGCTGGTTAACAGCAATTATTACTAGCCTATGCTAAAAATCATTTTTAAATGTTATAGAACTTATGTTTGACCATTTTTTCAGAATGACAAAATTATTAATTTCTGAGGTATAGTGCGCTTTCAACTGTGTCCTACTTTGAAACAATGGTCAGTTTCTTGATCTATAATGAAAAAGGAAACACACATTTTTGACAGACTTCCATGATTTTTTATCATCAATGATTAGATGTGAAACATAAACCTATAGGATTTTTTTCTGTCTTATGTATCAGTCATCTGTCCATGAAATTACCTATATCAGTAAAAGGAATTCAACTCCAATGGCATGTAACTCAAAAACAAGCTAGGTGACCCCATCCATTCTTTTTGAAATGTCAAGTTTGAATAATTCCTCTTATAAGTTTTTATGCTGCATATATATGACTGATACCGCCTCCGTGAACGAGAGGTTAGAGTCGATGACTATAATCCAGTTACCTCTCTGGCGTGGGTTCGATCCCCGGGAATTGCTTTGGTAGTTTAGCATGGAGGAAGGTAGTCTAGTACTGGTGTAACTCTCCAGGAACGATGGTTAGGAAACTACCCGCCTATATGACTGAAATACTGTTGGGAAAAGGCGTAAAATGAATCAAACAAACAAACAATATATGACTGTATATCATGCGTCGTTACACAATTAACCTGTGTAAATCCGGGGAGGCAACTCTTTAGATACAAATGATTAAATGGTGAACTGGATTTCTACCCCCATTTTCTAGCTGCATACTGCACATTGAAATGAAAAGTTTATTTTCAAACTAAACACTAAACCATTTTTTAAAATTTATTTTTGACATCATATAAAATATAATACCTAAAGTGCAACAATAGCACTAGTGATTAGTATGGTTACAAATTGCACGTGAGAAATAAACGTAAAAGAGATAACGTAAATCGACATAAGAATGGTGGCGTTTAGACATTACAGTGTTAAGAAACCACAAACTTTAAATTTTGATCGACCCTAGCAAATAACCTTAAAGTTGTACTTAAAGTTTTTGTTAATGAGGTTAAGGAAAGACAGAAGATATAATGTGACGAAGTTTACTAACTCGATCTGTTCTGTCGGCCGGGCAATTTGATATACGAAGAAAAGGTTAAACTAAACCCAACAAAACTTATACACTTACAACGTCACCTGTTCATTAAAGTGACATTATGCTCATTTGAGGGTATACAGTGAGTGAACAGGTGAAAGACAGAATAAGTTTTTATATAGTCATGATTCCTTTTAATTCAGTGATTTACTTTATATAAACAATAAATAATCCCCGGATCGAAACGGAATTTCTGTAAATATCAATTAGACTTTACCTGAAACGTTTAGTTTATAAAAAGAGTGGGGCAGTCTTTTTATATTTTAGGCAGATTTTAAATTTTATTCTAAACATTTTCCAAAATAAACTGTTGGTCAAACACCAGTTTAACTGTCAATCTTTTGAAATAAAAAGTCAATTCAGCTCAACTTGACTATGAAAATATGAGCATAATGTCACTTTAATGAGTCAGATTATCTCAAATGACAAATATTATTATGTTGTTGTTGTTGCTGTTGCTGCTGCTGTTGTTGTTATTGATGATGATTCTGCTGCTGCTGCTGTTGATGTTGTTGTTGTAGATGGTGATGATGATGATGATGATTATTATTATTATTATTATTATTATTATTATTATTATTTATTATTATTATCATATTATTATTATTATTATTATTATTATCATATTATTATTATTATTATTATTATTATTATTATTATTATTATTATTATTATTATTATTATTATTATTATAATTTATTATTATTATTATCATATTTAACTTTCGGATATTAAATATTTTATGAGCTAGTTTTTTATGAATTAAGCACATGATAACGATAATAATAAAATCTTTCACGAAGGTGGTATAAAGTGGGAAGGATTGGGACATGGAGATCAGCCCATCCAACTGTCAATTTCTCCACGTCAGAAGAAAAAAAGAAACATTCCGAACTATCTACGTGATCTCTTCTTGGAACTTTTCTAGAGGCGGTTACATTTGCCTCATACCTAGGGGTGGGGGGAATATATCAAATGATCTCACATGGAACGGACATGGTAAAGCAAAACAGGCAAACCAAATCCTTAGCTTCTTACGACGTAATATAAAGGATTACTCAGAACCCCTTAAAGGCATTTGTCATATAAAACCATTGTACGACCACAGGAAAATAAATATGCATTTGAAGTCTGGTCACCCATAGTTAAACTCAAATTGATCTAAAGAAAGTCTGTGGGTTGTACCAAATCTGACTTCGGAAACCCACCCAAATGCTAGAGACGATCTTGGTTGAATTGAATGTAGGCTGTTCTCAATGTACAAACTCACTAATGATATGATCGCCAGCACCATAGAACGTTTTCTTGCATATCAGACATTTACAATTTTATGTTAAGATAGATAAAACTGTATCCTAGTTAAAATTTTGATGTAAAAGTAAATAATCTGTAATTCTATCAATTAATATATTTGTTAACATTACTAGCAGCAGAATTCCCACAGTAATTGCTAAGGATGATTATTTTATATTGTAATTTTGTTAATTTGTAAGTATGTATGGATTCTTTGTATGTTGTTTATTTGTTATTATTGAAAGAATAAATTTTTACTTTCAGATAATCGCTATATACGCTATATACTCCTTAGGCTATGTGTTGTTTCTGGAATAAAAGTGAAAATATAGCGCGTGCATTACATCTTTTTGTTGCCCGAACTTAGTGAAGCTGCCCACTACGGCTGTGTTGTAGTGTTTTTGTAATTTGGTGAACAGTTTTAACGTGTTCTCTCTCCGCCACCCACGTAATCTACAGTGGTTCATTACAGTTATTGGACAGTAGTTCATACAGTTTTTGAACAGTAGCACTGTATTCTACAGTTATTGAACATGAGTAGTTGTTCTACATATGGTCATTTCAATATCATTTAGGAAGAGAGAGGATAATATGATTGACGTTATTTCTCCTTGAATTACTCCTATAGATATCACAACTAAAGAAGTCGGATACTTTGTCTATTTGCTTCACACAAAATTTTACATTTGCGTACATTGATCGTAAAACTTTTAAAAATTTGCCGCCGATTCCATGTTTAATTAGCTTATACCATAATGCACTTCTAGAAACAGAGTCAAATGCCTTTTGATAGTCAATGAAAGCAGCGTATAGACGTTTCCCTTGACTTAAGTAGCTGTCAATAAATGACTGTAATACAAATAGTAGTTCCATAATTAGGTTTAAATCCGAATTGTACGTCAGTTATTGTTTCGTGAATATCTGTCCAATTTTTAAGACGCGCATTTAACACTGAAGTGAATAATTTTGCCAAACAACTAATTGTGATCCCGCAATAATTGCTT